CCCTGTCCCTGTCCCCATCCCTGTCCCTGTCCCCATCCCTGTCCCTGTCCCCATGTCCCCATGTCCCCATGTCCCCATCCCTGTCCCTGTCCCTGTCCCTGTCCCTGTCCCTGTCCCCGTCCCTGTCCCTGTCCCCATCCCTGTCCCCATCCCCATCCCTGTCCCTGTCCCCAGGCCGGGTGACCAAGACCAAGGACGGTCACGAGGTTCGCACCTGCAAAGTGGCCGACAAGAGCGGCAGCATCAACATCTCGGTGTGGGACGATGTGGGGAACCTGATCCAGCCTGGGGACATCATCCGCCTCACCAAGGGGTACCTGGGGACATGGGGACACCTGGGGACACCTGGGGACACCTGGGGACATGGGGACACACCTGGGGACACACCTGGGGACATCATCCGCCTCACCAAGGGGTACCTGGGACACCTGGGGACACCTGGGGACACCTGGGGACACCTGGGGACACCCCTGACCCTCACCCTCCTCCTCCCCAGCTACGCCTCGGTGTTCAAGGGCTGCCTGACGCTCTACACCGGCCGGGGAGGAGACCTGCAGAAAATCGGAGAGTGAGGAGAAAAACGGGGAAAAATGGGGAAAAATGGGGAAAAATGGGGAAAAATGGGGAAAAATGGGGAAAAATGGGGAAAAATGGGGAAAAATGGGGAAAAATGGGGAAAAATGGGGAAAAATGGGGAAAAATGGGGAAAAATGGGGAAAAATGGGGAAAAATGGGGAAAAATGGGGAAAAATGGGGAAAAATGGGGAAAAATGGGGAAAAATGGGGAAAAATGGGGAAAAATGGGGAAAAATGGGGAAAAATGGGGAAAAATGGGGAAAAATGGGGAAAAACGGGCAAAAACAGGGAAAACGGGAAAAAATGGGGCAGAAACGGGGGAAAATGGGGCAAAAACTGGGAAAAATGGGAAAAAACTGGGAAAAATGGGAAAAAACTGGGAAAAATGGGAAAAAATGGGGAAAAATGGGAAAAAAATAGGAAAAAATGGGGAAAAACCGGGAAAAAATGGGAAAAATGGGGAAAAAATGGGGAAAAATGGGGAAAAATGGGGCAAAAATGGGAAAAAATTGGGAAAAATGGGGAAAAATGGGAAAAAATGGGGAAAAACCAGGCAAAAATGGGAAAAAATGGGGCAAAAATGGGGAAAAATGGGAAAAAAACGGGAAAAAATGGGGAAAAACCGGGAAAAAATGGGGAAAAACCGGGCAAAAACAGGAAAAAATGGGGCAAAAATGGGGAAAAATGGGGCAAAAATGGGAAAAAATTGGGAAAAATTTGGGAAAAATTGGGGAAAAACGGGAAAAAATGGGGCAAAAATGGGGAAAAATGGAAAAAAATGGGAAAAGATGGGGAAAAATGGGAAAAAATGGGGCAAAATGGGGAAAAATTGGGGGAAAATGGGAAAAAATGGGGCAAAAATGGGGGAAAAACAGGGGGAAATGGGGAAAAACAGGGAAAAATTGGGAAAAAAAAGGGGGGAAATGGGGAAAAACGGAATTTGGGAAAATTGGGGGAAAGATGGGAAAAAATGGGGGAAAAATCGGGAAATTCGGGAAAATTGGGGAAAAAACAGGGAAATTTGGGAAAGTTGGGGGAAAGGGGGAAAAATCAGGGATAATTTGGGGAAAATTCAGGGGAAATTCAGGAAAATTGGGGGGAAAATGGGGAAAAAATCAGGGATAATTCAGAGAAAATTTGGGGAAAATTGAGGAAAATTTTGGGGAAAATTGATGAAAAAATCAAGGATAATTTGGGGGAAAAACAGGGAAAATTGGGCAAAAAATCAGGGATTATTCAGGGAAAATTCAGGGGAAATTTGGGGGAAAATGGGGAAAAATTCAGCCATAATTCAGGGGAAATTGGGCAAAATTGGGCCAAAAATCAGGGATAATTTGGGGAAAATTCAGGGAAAATTGGGGAAAAAATGGGGAAAAAAATCAGGGAAAATTCAGGGAAAATTCGGGGAAAATTGAGGAAAAATTCTGGGATAATTCAAGGAAAATTTGTGGGGTCCTGGGGGGGTTTGTGGGGTCCTGGGGGACCCCAAAATCCCGGCTGTGCCCGCAGGTTCTGCATGGTTTACTCCGAGGTGCCAAATTTCAGCGAGCCCAACCCCGAGTACGTGGCGCAGCAGGCGCAGGGCAAAGGGGTGAGTTCTGGGGGGGCAGAGCTGAATCCCCCCAAAATCTGCCCCAAATCCCCCCAAATTTCCTCAAATCCACCAAATTCCCTTCAAATCCCCCACAATTTCTCTCAAATTCCTCCAAATCTGCCTCAAATTCCCTCAAATCCGCCCAAATCTGCCCCAAATCCCCTCCAATTTCCCTCAAATTCCGCGAAATCTGCCCCAGATTTCCTCAAATCAACCAAATTCCCTTCAAATCCCCCACAATTTCCCTCAAATTCCCCCAAATATGCCCCAAATCCCCTCCAGATTTCTTCAAATTCCCCCAAATTTCCCCCAACTCCCCCAAACTCCCCAAATTTCCTCCCAAAACCCTCCAAATCCCCCCAAAACCCCCCAAAACCCCTTTAATCCTCCTGAAGACCCCCCCAAAAACCCTCCAAGTTTCCCCCAAATCCCCCAAATTTCCCTCCAAATCCCCCAAAAACCCCGCAAATCCCCCAAATTTCCCCCCAAATGCCCCAAAAACCCCCCAAAATCCCCCAAATT